GTGAACGGAATTTACACCTAACCGTCTGAAATTGTCTTTGTTGCCCCTAATAATGGGGTCGCCTCCTGAGAAGCCGCCTGCAATGGTGTAGATGACTACATCATCTGTATCGGAGCTGTCGGCCTGTTGATTCTTTTTGGCCGACTGCTTTTTTGAGGAAGTGTTCCCCGCGGATTTCTTGACATAAGTGTCAAGATCACCTTGCTCAGCCAGGCGGTTCAGATACCGCATGAGACTGATGCAGTCATTGGTGTGATGACCAACATTATCATGATAAGCACAGAATTTATCTTGGTTCCGGTTGTTTGCAGAACCCTTCATGGGGACCGACTTCTCAATTGAGATTCGTCCCTTGATTTCTTTTAGGATAGACTGGTTATCCTTGTTAAACGCATACTTTGGGGAGTATGGTTTGAATTCTTTTTTCTTTTTCTGGGCCGGCTGTTTAGAGGAATCAGCCGCCCAGACCTCTTTCCTTTTCTCGTCTTTGTTGGACGACTGCTTCTGTCGTCCTTCTTTTTTGTCGGACCTTTTACCGTCCGACTGTCTTCCCGTACTACAAAGATCAGTCGCCTGTATATAGGTTTCCGCTTCAATTAAGGCCTCTTGAAGTGTCGCCACCCTCTTTTGGACCAAGTCAAATTTGAAGGTCGACCCGTCCTTGAGACCTCTGAAAAAGTCAGTATAGGCTACCTCATCCGGTAACCCTTGAATCTGTATTCTCATCAGGTTAAAACGCCTGATGTAAGAACGAAGCCCCTCCTTCTCGCCCTGCTGAATTGTTCCTAAATCAAGGGTCGTTTTCTTCGCAGGGATGTTCATGGCGAAGTTGGAGGTGAATAAGTAAGCAAGCGTCCTGAAGTTATTTACACAACCAGTCGGCAGGTTGCCGAACCATTGTTGTGCGATTCCTTTGAGAGTCGCTGGGAAACACTTGCACCAGGTAGGATCATCCAACCCTTGAAGGTACATCAGGTTGGTGAAGGCCATAAGATGGTCTTCTGGGTTAGTAGTGCCGTCATAGGCGCCTACTAATACATTTTTCACTTTGGCCGGCTGAGCGGCTTCAGTAATTTCCTTGGAGAAGGCCGACGGCTGTTCACCAAGTCTAAGCAACCGTAGCTGCCAGTCCATAGGTTGGACGTATTTTCCTGCAGGTCCACCAAACGGAGGTGGCTGCAAAAAATACTGTTGTTGCGGTACAAATGGTAAGTTTGGTACCGCCTGGTCACTATGAAAGCCGGACTGACGGGAGGTGCCACCTGACTGACTCTCATGATACAACTGAGTACGCCTCATCGAGGCATTTCGCAGACTGTCTTGAAAGTTTGAAGTAGAGGCCGACTCTGACAATCGATCACTCTTCTTCTGCTCTAGCAGTAGCCGAGCGTCTGTGAATGTTTGCTTCGACCCATCCGCCTGAATATGACAAACAGGTTTCCTATTTCCTGTAGGAAAACGGAATTTTGTGAAATCAAGGGCAGGTGGCTCCCGCTTCCTGGATTTAGGATGAGGAGTCGCCTCTCGCCCTTGAACTGGCTTCCTCTTCAGTGAAGTGGAGGGTTTCTTAGCCGACTGCTCCTTGACTGGAGCAGGCGGCTTCTTGTTGATCAACTCTTGAATCTCTCCCTTGAAGTCCCTCATGAAGGTCATGAGTTCGTTCCTTGTGATGGGAGCAGACCCATCAGTCGGCTGTTGCCGAACAGGCGGTGCGCATGCTGGCTCACTTCCAGCTTGAAGATGTTCCCGTTCCCTCCTTTCGGTATGACGGGTACGTCGGGCCCTTAGGGTCCCGTCTGAAGCTGTGTGAGCTTCAACTTCAAGTTCATCCTCAGTATCGTGGTCCGACTGTACTTGAGGGTCGTCTAGGGGACACCTCTCTTCAGGAGTCGGTACAGACTTGGATGCCATCTCAGAAGTACTCTCCCCACAGACGGCGCCAAATGTTTCGGGGTTTTCTGATGTCCTGCGGGAGAGTTACAATTCCGAGACTAGAACCGGACGCATGTACCTGCAAAACAACGGAGACTCCTGGTGGTGGGAGCTCCGCCTCCAACGGTCAAGTTAGTACTTGATTAAGGAGTAATTAATGCGGAAATTAAAGTGAGTGGGTCTCTCTAGGTGAGAGTGTTTAATGTGAGTTTTTAGCGTAATCAGCCTGTAACTCTGGGTGTAATCAATGTGTTTTTTCCGTAATCCCCCCTTAATGAGGATTAAGGGAGGTATTTATAACCTTGGGAAACGCGCCAATCCTAGGTTTAGGTTAACCTAGGGCTGATTGGGCTTCCCTCGGAAGTTGGGCCTGGGTGGCCGGTTTCTCCATTAGGCATGGAGTATGCCACGTGTCATGACATAACAGGTCCAAGGTGGACGAATAAGCGTGTGCCACGTGGCAAGCCCTGACAGTTCCAACTGGGGGACACTTGGCAGGACCTGATTGGCCCACGTGGCGCATTCCGATTGGTGGGAGCAAAATCCCCTAATCAACACACATCTTTAAGCACTGGTTGAATGCAAATTTGAATTCTTTGTCTTTTTTAAGAGCTCCAAATCTGGTTATGGCATTTTGCTCCAAATGCCATATACAAAGTCTATGTCTTGTATTAGGAATCACCTGCATTGAAAATAAAGGGGTCACTTTATGCTGTTAAAAGGATTAATTATGCACTAAAAAGGGTAACTTTATGCAGCTAAAAGGGTAACTTTATGTGAAAAAGGAAAACTTTATTGTCATAGCTCAAATCTATAAGATGTCAATATAAATCTTTTACCTCCAGTATAGCATTTGCCATTGCTTGGTCCTGGTCAGTGAATATTGAAGTTGGTTTTCTATCCTCCATAGCTTTGAAGAAGGTTTGTAGTAACCACACAAATTAATCTGTCGTTTCATCCCCAATAAAAGCACAAGCAAACATACAATTATGCTAGTGGTTATTTATGCCAACAAATGGAGCACATATAATATTATATCTGTTGGTTCTGTATGTTGTATCAAAGACAAGAACATCTCCATATATCCTATAGTCTTCTAGCATCATTGAATCTCTCCAAAAGATATTGCAAATTCTTCCTTCTTTGTCAAACTTCACTCTAAAAAAGAAGTTTGGATCCTCTGATTGTTCCTGACTTAAAATGTTCACTAAAGTTTGAGCATCTCCAGCCTCAATTTGTTCCATTCTTAACCTTGAGCAGAAATTTAGGTGATCTACAACATTATGGCCTATATTCTGTTCTCCTCCAGCCTCTGTAGCCATGTAATTGTAAGTGTCCATTGTAGTTAGACCTGAAGATTTCATTGTTTTGATTGTTACAACTTTTTCCTGTCATTTTTCTTTCAGAACGATGCAAATAATGCCACTGTGGCTTTGTTAGCTCGTGGTTATGCTGAATAACATGAGCCACCACCTCAAACTGTCCTTCTTTATTCACTTTTGCTCTTATGCATGCCTTGCAATTTGATCTTGTAATGGATACTTGTCTTGGCTTTCTTGTTTTTACATTTACATCCTCTTCATCAACCATTTCAACTAACTTTGTTTTCTTCTGACCTGAATGTCTCTTTCCCTCAGCAGAGCACACATAGTTTTTCTCAGTTACTATTTTTGTGTGTTGTTTGAATCTAGTTGTATGTTTTCTTATTGAAAACCCCAGTATAGCAGCATGTTTTTCATACAATTCCAAAATTTCTTCAAAAGTTTCTCTTACCACACCAACAAATGATCCTCTAAGATCTAAACCATAAGCATCAATTGGATTTGTATCTGTTATTTAATACAAACAAATCAGATAATAACCACAGACATCATAAAAAAAAGGGTAACATTCCTTTGAAAATAGGGTAACTTTTATGCATGAAAAAGGTAACATTTAGGCATTGAAAGGGTTACTTTTTGCATACAATCTGAATTTTCAGCATACAATCTGAGTGTAACATTTGAGCATAAATAGGGTAACTTTTATGCATGAAAAAGGTAACATTTAGGCATTCAAAGGGTTACTTTTTGCATACAATCTGAATTTTCAGCATACAATCTGAGTGTAACATTTGAGCATAAATAGGGTCACTTTTAAGCATGAAAAGGGTAACATTTAGGTATTCAAAGGGTTACTTTTTGCATGCAATCTAAAAAGTTTTGCATTCAATCTGAGGGTAACATTTAGGCATAAGTATGGTCACGTTTATGCATGAAAAGGGTAACAATTATGTATTCAAAGGGTTACTTTTTGCATACAATCTCAAAAATTCATAGAAATTACCTTCAGTTGCATCTGATTTGGTTGTTTGTTCTGAATTTGAATCAATTGATTTATCAGGAACCACTTGATTTTCTGCATTGTGAATTGCGTCTTCTGCATTCTCAATTGCTTCATCTGCATTATCGATTGCTTCATCTGCATTATCGATTGCTTCATCTGCATTGTCTGGATTGTTGAATATTGGTACGAATTCATCTCCAAAACAATTAGTTTCTTCTTCTTCTATAATCGATCGATTTAAATCGATTTCAAATTCAGTCTCAATTTGCCTCTGTTTTTGTAGCAATTCGTGAATGAGATTGCTGCAATTTGTTGTATCGAAAGTCGAATTCTCCATTGATGATCGAATTCTGCAATTTGTAAGTTTTCTCACTTTCTTTGTCCTTAATTGATGATCGAATTCTTCTATTTGTGCGTTTTCTCACCTTTTTTCTCCTCGATTGATGATCGATTTCTGCAATTTTTGCGTTTTCTAACCTTTTTTCTCCTCGATTGATGTTCGTTTTCTGCAATTTTTGCGATTTCTCACTTTCTCTCTCCTCAATGGATGATTGATAGCTGCGTTTTCTCACTTTCTCTCTCCTCCATTGTTGTTCTGCGTTTTTTTTTATTTTTAGGTATCTGAAATTCTGCGATTTTTTTTTTTTAAAAAAAAAACACGTGCGAAAACCCGATGTACAGTAAAAATACTGTACACCGGGTACATGCAAATGAGTTTGTTCATCTAATAATAATAATAATAATAATAAATTAAAATAAAATAAATAAAATAAAAACGAAGTTGGTTATCAATTATCATCGTCTTGTTCCTCAAGACAACTGATTTTTAAAACCTGGGGATCCTAAGGCGGCGAAGCACTACTCCACCGCCTACATTATTCTAGCACTCTCTTCTAATTTCCAATTTTCCGATAAATATCTGCAGAGCCCTAATTCCTGTTAAATCCCCTATGCAATTTTGTTTTTACGGAGAGAAAACTCCAGGATTTCTACCCCCATTTCCATGTCCTCTTACACTCCTGCACATTCCAAAGATACATTCGACATGGTATATACTTCTTCGTCTTTCTTGTCTTCTGGATTTTGATTTTCCTGATTAATTGATTTCATTACTGTTTTTGTTTATTTTAGCTTGTTCATAGTTTATGATTCCTGAGTTTCTTGTTTGAATTTTATCTTTGGTATAAGTGCTATGTGATGATATTTGTTCTTACAAATTTAGTGGAAAAATTATTTAGTTTTATTGTTTGATAGATTTTTTAATTTCATAATATGGGAATTTTGCTGCCTTGGTTTAGTAAATTGATTTGATATTGCCTGAATAAGTTTTGTTAAATTTAATTATATATTTTGTTGGACAAAGCTAATTTGTAAATGAACTTGAAAAGTTTTGAAGTATTGGCTTGTCAATATTCGGAATCCAATTTTTACGGAAGAGCGGTAAATAAGGGTCTTCCCTTATGGGAATAAGGCTTTGATTGATTGAGCGGTAAATAACGGTCTGTTTGGTTCTGGGTAATAAACAATGGTTAAGGTAATGATGTTATAAGTAGCATTGTAAAGAGGATTTCATGCCAATGCCCAAGGTAATGCTAGTCCGTTTTCAAGTACCTCATTTTCATTGCAAGATTCCATTACCATCCATTATCATTTTAAAGGTGGGATAGTGTGGTAATGAAAATTTGTGAAAAACACATGTTTGTAAGTAGAATTACATACAAATCCATTATGACTCCCACAAATTTATGACCTCTTACCAAACACGGCATTAGTTATATCTTCAGTAACAAGGAAATTAAATGCAAGGATTCTTGTATCAGGTACTGACTTGGGACTATCAATCGGGGTATGGATAGTCTCTTCTTTTTTTTCAAAGATTGTTGCTTGAAAATTTATGTATAAGATTGATGCTTGATGATGAACAGATGTGCTATTGACTATGCTCCTTTTCTTACTGGTAGGTGTAGTAGCTTTTTATCGGCGTTCCCATTGCTTGTACCTAACCGTTTAGGGTCTGAATTTTGACAGGCAGCTCCCCTTGTTGCTGGACTTTGTGTAGCAGCAGCTGCTTTAGCTGGTAGAAAAGGTATTCTAGCTTGGCAAGCATTTAAAGCAAGACCTCCTACAGCTAGAATGCGTAGATTTTATGATGGCGGGTTTCAGCAAAGCATGACTAGAAGGGAAGCAGCCCAGATCCTTGGCGTCAGGTACTTCAATATTTCGCGTAAAATACATGACTTGATGTTACTTAATATTAGTGATTGAGGAATTACTTATTTTTCTTAATCATCAATTTTTATTGTTAGTGCTAGCTTCTTAGTCATTTCGTTTTTGGTAGATTGGTAGGTGTCAAAGTTGTGACTAGTTGTCTAGTGTCAAACAAGAAAAACAATTTTTGCTGCAAATTGATCAAGTTTAGATGAGGCATGTTCATGCATGAGCATGTTAAACCTATGCATGCGGATTACATTCAGACATACCTTTGTGACAAATTGAGCTTACTGGTGTAAAGACTTTATCTAGAGATGTGAACTAGATATACTAGGGTTAGGAGTAATAATCCACATTTAGCTAAAAGGATAGATTCTTATAAATTAGCGATATCAACATGACTCTTACCCTGAAGAGGCTTCCACTATTGGTGGACACTAGCTGCTGTTATACACAGACTTACCCATGTGATGCTGTGGTGAAAAATAAGTTTCTAGTCGAACCTTAATTTAATGTGCAACAGTAGTTTGCTCCTTCAAATTGTATAAAAAATGCATCCTGTGTAATGATTCATTATAAATTTATAATTTAGTCTGTGATAATCCCAAAGCGAAAGGTATAATGATCTTTGACTTGATTAGAGATGAATAGTTCATAAAAATTTTAGATGTCCAGCTAGGTTACATCGTCACTTCTTTGGATTTTAGTCTAGCAAAGTCAAGCTTCAGATCCATATTAAATTAGTTTGAACATTCAATACATGGTCTACATTTTTTTTTTTTTTTACTAGCGACTGAATTGGCCCCTAAATTTAATTTCATTTTTTGAAAATTCCAAATCATAGACCAAGCAGTTGTGGTAACCTTGAGCATGAATGCTAGTATCCAATGAAAGTATATTATCTTTTCAAATTGAGAAAAGATTTCTCTACCTTGCATCAGAATCAGCACATTGATATCAAGACAGGTTGACTTTGAGAAATCTGAAAAAGATTTCTCTACCTTGCAAGATCAAGTGTAATTATATTGTCTTTTCTTGGTTTAAAGACGCAAGGATCAGCCTTTTGGATTTTGCCACAGATAAAATAATGATATACCCCAAAAGTCCTTAACAATGTCAAAGTCTTATGGCTTTAATGTACCCAAGGGTTCGTGAGGTTATTTGTTCTGATAGGAGACATTTTTTTCATAATATATGTATTAACAAATTAACACCTTTATTACATGTGCTCTTATTCCTTGCGCTTTAACGCTAGATCTGCAATTACCGACTTTCCATACCTGTGTTATATGTGATACTAGAGTCACCCGTGATAGAAATTCATGAGGATTACTCCCCCAAATCCCTCCGCCTATAATAATATTGTATGAACATTCTTGGATCATGTGCATGAAGATATGTGATCTTCATGGTTCCGTGTTACCTGTCCCTGAAACTGTTGTTACAGCTTTATATTGAAAGAGAAGCTACATATGTCATTGAGAGCAAAAATAAAGTGCCAAGTGCCAGTTAGAGATATAAAATATCATTTGGCAGGTCATTGATATTGTGCTGCACCCCTAGTGTGATAGAATCTCCTTAGTTGATAATTAACCGTTGTAAGATTTGAAATAAGCTTTATAGTTATAGTTCGGTGGGAAGAGTCTTGTTTTAGGAATGGAATGTCCATCACAGGAATTCAATTGGTGTAAGGGCAATATGCTCCTCAAATTTCAGTGCTGCCGTCTGCAATGTACAAGCCTTGGTTAAATTGTTAATTTCTGAATGCTGGTGACCTATTCCCAGAAAGATGGCGATATCATTAGGTTTTCGGGGATATTGATTTGGTATTGGTTAAATGAAGACAGAAAGTTTATACTTGTATCTTGTAAATCATCCCCAAGTGTCCACCATGAGTCAGTATATGCAACGCACAGCTTAAATATTATTAGTGAATTGTGACCTTATTGAGAATGGACGACGCCGTTGATAATTTGATCACTACTCTCCTAAGTTTCATAAATTTCAGTTTTTGCCTACTCTTCTTAATATTAAGTAACTTTGAGTGTTATGCTCTATTGAATTTGGTTACTGTATTTTGACAGGGAGAGGGAAAGCGTAGCTATTGAGAAGATAAAGGAAGCACATAGAAGAGTGATGATTGCAAATCATCCTGATGCAGGTGGCAGCCATTACCTGGCTTCAAAAATCAATGAAGCAAAAGATATGCTGCTAGGTAAGCCGAAAAACACTGGATCAGTGTTTTAAGGTTTATGCTTCATACCATGCTGTGGGTTCAGAACATGTCGAGATGGAGCTTGCAAGACCATTTTTTTTTTACAAGAAGAAAAGGGATTTCATTAATAAAATATAGCCAAATGGCACTTACATATAATAATTCCTAAAAATCAAGAATTCCAACACAAGTACATAACACCTTAAAACTAAGTCCATTTTTTGTTCTAGGAGTATTAATCATATCTATTGTGATCTTTTTATACTAGTGATTCTATTTGTATTGTACACCATATTCATTGTGATATCAGATAACCACTTGTTACAATCTATATGAGCTGATTGATTAACTTTTACTATTCCATTATGGCTTTGGCTGCGATGATTGAGACATTCAATATTTTTTTTTACTTTTTTTTTTCGAGGAAATTGCGACATTCAAGATGATTTGCAGTCATGTTGATAATATTGTACTTCGTAAAAATTAGTGATAATGGAGTATGACAGCTAATTTTGGACAAAGATAGTACGTAAATCTATGCAAAATTTTCATGAGGTAAACTGAATGATGGCCTAGTCACCATTGAGTCATCCTCAATAACAATGTCATACAAGTTACAAGGATACATTGCGTTTTATCATTTGATTTCTCCTTAGGGCATGCTTGATTTGATTTCTTCTTAGGGCATGCTTGGATTGGGGAAGATGTATTACTAGGGTAATAAAAGTCAAACTAAGCAAAATGAAAGTGCAAATAGGGAAGGAGGAGATAGTGATGGTGTGATTGTAAGAAAAATTATGTAGTGATGGTGTGATAGGTGAAAAAAGAGGAACTAATACCCTCATTTTGGGGGTAATAGTCACACAAAGGGGAGGGTTGGTAACTATTACCCTCATTATGAGGGTAATAATTCATTTATCTCTCTATTTTCCTCATGACACAATTACTTTATTTAATTTGTAAACACCATTCCTCCTACAACAACACGTCTAATTTCTTATGTTTTTTCAAGTTTGATTTTTATTACTCCTTAATATATTATCCCCAATCCAAGCAAGACCTTATATGAATTTATTTTTTATGAGCATAACTTATTTGAATGTATTTTTTCCTAAACTAAACGCATCATAATTTATAATAACCTATTTTGGTTGTTATTGTTAATTATATGGGTAGCCCTTGTTTATATGAACTAACATCATCCATTCTAAACTTGACTAATTCGATTTAAATGAATATAAGGCGAATATATTACTATGTATTACCCTCTTTTCATATTCTTGTTAACATTGAAAAAGTATGATACTATTTACAAAATCTACACAATTAGATTATTTATTTATTTTTTATTTTAATTTTTTGAGAGAGTATACAATTAGATTTTGTCATATTCGTCTAAATATGTAGATTAATGTTTTTCAACTTTTAATGATTTTGTATAATGTGTATTTAAGATATCGATTATCAAGTATTTCCTCCATTTTCATTTACTTGACCTATAGCCTTTTGGCACACAATTTAAGGAAGAGATTAAAAAAGATAAACATAAGCTAAATCAAAAAATTAAAACCATAAAACCCCAATTTCTTTTTTTTTTTTTTTTTTTTTTTGCATTAAAAATATCGTTTGTCTTCTTTAATTAAATTTTTAAATTGCATGTCATGAGACTATAGGTCAAGTAAATTGAAACAGAAGTATGTGAACTGAAAGCTGTGTAAAAACTAAATAGGCAAAAGAAACAGATAGAGTATTAATTATAATCATCACAACCTTAATTATTATAAACAAATTATTAATCATTAGTTTGAAATTATCTACAATGATAATATATTATATCTATCAGGTTGAGGCATAATCTTGTGTAGTTGAAAAACTACCCTTAAACCAGGCCAGTAAGGTTAGAATACAAGGCTAACCAATTTGATTGGTGTAACAAACAAATTGGAGTTAACTTGAAAGTATTATCTATGTCAGTTTGATTCACTTACTTTCAACCTGAATGTCAAAGTGCTAAATCTAAGAATATTGGGGAAGATGAAACTTAACTTGGTGTAAAAAGTGATCAGTACAAGCAAGATTTCAGTCTGAACCAGAATGCACCATCTCTGATTTATATTATGCGGATTCTTAGTGAGGGTAGTAATTATGCCTCATTTCGTTTACTCCACAAGGCCAAGCAAGCTAGCATATTTACAACGTTACTCTAACAAGTAAACATTCCAGAGTGCTGAACAAAAAAGTAATGGTGAAAAAGAAAAAAAAAATGGTATGAAGTCTCATTCTTGCAAGGCATTAGCACCAGGTGCGTCTTCTTCAGGTGTGTTAGCCAAAGACTGGTCTGTATCTATTAGATCTGTAATATAATCCAAGGGACCCCGCGGATCTCCGAAAAGTGTGGATAGTATTTGTCTGTGACACTCATCACAGAAGTATAAGTAAGAGAAGTGACCTTCACTCGGAAGCATATACAAAGTAGCGCCTGGTAGGATGCGGCTGATGTACTGAGCCATAGATGGTGGTACAACATGATCATCCAAGCCCTGTCACCAATTACCATATTCAGTGGAGTGCTAAAAACCAAGTAAAATATATTGAATTTTGAGCATGGTGTCAGTCCTAAAGCAGGTGAAGTTTTGACAAATTACTAAGAGGGACAAACATATGATAATTATCAACCACAATCTTGTTGGCCGGTTGTCTTCAACAATTAAAAATAGGTCCTACAGTTTTAAAAATTATGTGTGTAGGTCAGCATTTAGTAAGCATAAGTTCTGTTCAGTATAATAAGTTAAAGTTAATTCCAGAAAGTCCATAAAAAATAATGGTCCTCTCGTTAACAAAGCTGGAAACATTTCAAACATTTTAGCTGATATCAGGTGCAGCCAAAATGTATACGATTTTTTTTTTTTTTTTTTTTTTTTTTTTTTTTTTTTTTTTTTTAAATCAAAGACATAATGACACAATGTGGAAAATCAGGGGCTATGAAATTGAAAAACGAATAGTAAAATATGTTATAAAGAAATTATTGATAGAAAAACAGTATATGGGAGGGGGGAAAAAAAAGAGTTATGAGACAAACCTGCCAAATGTGTATTGGCCCTGAAAATCCAGTTAATTCACATTCTGCTTGCCTGTATATCGACTTCAGCCATGGAAGGATGCCTGTACCCGGGCACCTCCTCCTCATCTGTAAGTCTGCAAGGCTAAAACCCCAGTCTGACACTTGTAGCACGGATTCTTCAATGAATGATTTCATACGACCTTGTCTGACAGACTCTTCCACATCCCTCTGCCAAAATTCTTCAAAACTCTCCTTTTCAATCAAAGCCTTATCCTGCATAAGGGTGATGATCAGGGTTTACTAAAGGCCTAAAGCATCATGTAAAATCTGTCTACACATAAAAAAATACACTGGCATATCTTCTCTAGGAATGGTCTACTGACAGAAAGATGTACCTAACCTGAAACAAAAATCTAACTAAAGCAGTACAGAGTCCCATGAAAGCAATTTTGCCATAAAGCTAAGCAGTAGTAAGTAGTTATTACTGGACTTTGTAGTGACAAAAATTAATGACCTATTGGGTAGGTGTGGTAATGGCAGCCGAATTTCAATACAATTTTGTTAAAAGAGCATCATGTCAAAGTGGATGGTAACCGTAATTGGTCTATGGACGGAAAGATGTACCTAACCTAAAGCAACATTTATTTACAGCAAAATACATAGTAATTGTAATACTTACTACTTTCCTAGAGGTTGTAGTGATTATAACATTAACGGCATATTGGGTAGGTGTGGTAATGGACTAAATGGCAATAGATTCTAAATACTTTTTTGTTTGAAGAGCCATATGCCAATGTGGAAGGTAATGGCAATGGATTTAAAATACATAGTAATTGTAGTACTAGTAATGCATGTCCACCCCCAAATATCTCTTTTTCTTCATAAAACACCACTACTTCTAAAGCAGGCATAACTGGTAAAAATGAAGTTCCAATGCCATAAACATTGTCATGCCACTATTCTTACCAAATTATATATAAATTCATTACTATCATTCCTTGCATTACCACCTAAACAGGCTGTAAACAACGATAGTCAGATTAAGGGGGTGTTCGGTTGTCTTTTGGAACGGATTGGGATTGAGTAGAATCCATTCCAATGTTTGGTTAAGCATTTTTTGTCATGGAATCTCATACTAATGGTGTCTAACTCCATTCCAACCCCGTACAATCTCAAACCCACCTCCACCCCAAAGATTTTAAATCTATTCCACCCTAGATAAAAACCCTAACTAGATATAAATCCATTCCAATTGTAGTGATTATAACATTAACGGCATATTGGGTAGGTGTGGTAATGGACTAAATGGCAATAGATTCTAAATACTTTTTTGTTTGAAGAGCCATATGCCAATGTGGAAGGTAATGGCAATGGATTTAAAATACATAGTAATTGTAGTACTAGTAATGCATGTCCACCCCCAAATATCTCTTTTTCTTCATAAAACACCACTACTTTTAAAGCAGGCATAACTGGTAAACATGAAGTTCCAATGCCATAAACATTGTCATGCCACTATTCTTACCAAATTATATATAAATTCATTACTATCATTCCTTGCATTACCACCTAAACAGGCTGTAAACAACGATAGTCAGACTAAGGGGGTGTTCGGTTGTCTTTTGGAATGGATTGGGATTGAGTAGAATCCATTCCAATGTTTGGTTAAGCATTTTTTGTCATGGAATCTCATACTAATGGTGTCTAACTCCATTCCAACCCCGTACAATCTCATACCCACCTCCTAGAGGTGATCATTGGGCGGGCCAGGCCGAAGCAAAAAAATTGCCCATTTCTCGGGCCGGTCCAAGCTTCGGGCCGAAATTGTTGTGCCCAAACCCGCCCAAAATGGTCGGGCCGGGCGGGCTTTTCGGGTCATTTTCGGGCCTGACCAAAAAACAACTAAATATGCATAAAAACGCATTCCCAAACCCGCCCAAAAAAATCGGGCCGGGTCCAATCCAATTTCGGGCCGTAAAATTCTGCCCAAAACCCGCCAAAAATCGGGCCGGGCCAACTTTGATCACCTCCACCCCAAAGATTTTAAATCTATTCCACCCTAGATAAAAACCCTAACTAGATACAAATCCATTCCAATTTTACACCAAACAAGTTTAGCAAGGTATGGGGTTCTCAATCCATACCACGATGGTATGGGTTCCCAATCCATTCCATTCCGATTAGTTGAACCAAAAGACCCCTAATAAATGATAAACGGACAAGGAAGTACATGTATAGAGGAAGCACATAAGCATTGGTTACAAGTAACA